GTATATATACTGGTGTTTACTAATGGAATTCATAGATACAATCAGTTGTTTATCAAATGTAGTCAATACAATATCAATAATATCATGTTATTTGTTATTACAGATTTAAAACATCCTGGTATATATACTGGTGTTTACTAATTTAATTCATAGATACAATCAGTTGTTTATCAAATGTAGTCAATACAGTATCAATAATATCATGTTATTTGTTATTACAGATTTAAAACATCCTGGTATATATACTGGTGTTTACTAATTTAATTCATAGATACAATCAGTTGTTTATCAAATGTAGTCAATACAGTATCAATAATATCATGTTATTTGTTATTACAGATTTAAAACATCCTGGTATATATACTGGTGTTTACTAATTTAATTCATAGATACAACCAGTTGTTTATCAAATGTAGTCAATACAGTATCAATAATATCATGTTATTTGTTATTACAGATTCAAAACATCCTGGTATATATACTGGTGTTTACTAATTTAATTCATAGATACAATCAGTTGTTTATCAAATGTAGTCAATACAGTATCAATATTAATATCATATTATTTGTTATTATAGATTTAAAACATCCTGGTATATATACTGATGTTTACTAATTTAATTCATAGATAAAATCAGTTGTTTATCAAATGTAGTCAATACAGTATCAATAATATCATGTTATTTGTTATTATAGATTTAAAACATCCTGGTATATATACTGGTGTTTACTAATTTAATTCATGGATACAATCAGTTGTTTATCAAATAATATCATGTTATTTGTTATTATAGATTTAACCTGGTATATATACTGGTGTTTACTAATTTAATTCATGGATACAATTAGTTGTTTATCAAATGTAGTCAATACAGTATCATAGGTCACTATGGTAAACGTTCATGAACACAGAAATAATTGACCTTACAGTTTATGCGTACAATAATACAGAAGTCAAGACGAACCAGTTGATCAAATGCAGAAGTCATAAAGAACCAGTTAATCAATGTGTAAGATAAAAAATATGATATGACTTTGTAAAGCTAACACCTTGTTTTTAAGTTTGACTTTGTGAATAGTCTTAGCAACGATTCCCTTCCATACATACGACCACCATTTGCTCGAATGATGGTATGTTAGTTTTCAACGCTCTAACCCGCTGTGCTAAAACTGATGTTTATCTTCAGCATTCATCTATAACGTGTCAGCGTTTAAATAATATATTCATGTAGAAATCTTACTTTTTAAATCTGAATTATAAGTGTATCTGACACGTGTCAGATGCAGTTGTCCTGTGGTGGAAATGGTGTACCTACAAGTGTGTAGGAAGATAAAATGACATAAACTTAAGTTTAAAGTTCTACTTTTTGCTCTTGATCCAGAAAATGGGAACGTCAAATGCGATACATATCCTGTAAAATTTTCAAATACACGGGGTTCCAAAGTCAGAATCGGAATAAGTGTCAGAACGTTTCATTGGGGGATTCAAACTCACACCTCCTGTATTCCTTTTTTTCAATTAAAAAATGCGATTACATGTCTAAGCATAACTCAAAAACAAACTCAAACCCAAGCTCAAACTCAAAATGTGATAACATGGGTCTGAAAGATTAATCCACGAAACCGTCAATGTATAAAGAAAACCTAGTGGTATCGGGTCAGTAATGATGTCAATATGCTTATAAATATTGGTCTTTTTCTGCAATCATAAAACAAATTTGTTAGTTGACAAAACCTTTATCAGTGAATCCAGGGTATCAAAAACACACCAAAATTATTTATTGTAGTGCTTTATCAATATATTTGTTAGAAATAATATGACCAAATAGTAATTCCATCGCACGATAATTACGCTATCAGTTTTATATCTTCAGCCTTCCAGCTCTGTAAACATAACTAAATGAGAAAAACCATACTAAAACATATTTCTTTTACTATGTTCTTTGCTAAGAAAAAATATGGTTTTTGATACTGTTATTGTTTCGTGTCTTAAGACACTTTTTCAAATAGATGAAAAGTGTTTTTTTAAATTATCATGTTGACGTAGTAAATTTTCGACTATCGTCATCCTGTGTCAAGCATTCATGTGGCATATTATATATCAGTTTGCTACTAGCTGTACGTAATACTTTCAAAAGACATACCAACCAAGTTGTCAACAATATTTGTACATGAATATTTCAGTGACAACTACCAGATTCACGAATCTCTATATTATAAGAATAACAATGAATAGTAATATTAATATGTCCCTTTAATATTGGCATTTGTGACATTTTAGTACATGGATGATTTGTTCAAAATGCGTGAAATAAGAATTATATGACGCATCGGGTATTTTTAAGATAAATACAACGTTGGTCCGCTAACAATTTTGTCGTGATCCCTGGTTGATCAACACTAATGATTGGCAATAGTAATCTACTCGTCAAGATGCAATTTTTGTTTGTAATTGCTATTCTGTCTTTTACAAGATCAAGTAGCGTCGAAGGTAAGAAGCTTTCCTCTTTGGTGTTCTTTATGGCATTAATTTATCACTTATCAGGAAATTAGAGGATGATGTGAGACTGTGTCTCTTCTTCGCCTTATGCTGCTGGCCACGAACAGCCAAATAGAATCTTGGGTAAAATACTTCTTTCCGCGACAAGATTATAGCTTCAAACCAGTGTGACATTTGTAGCCCATTTTTTTGTCTGCAATTGTTTAACTAGACAAGACTCCAAAGAGCGTTATCATACAATCAGATTCATTTTCATTTCAATTAAATCATCATCATGACCGACCGAGTGAAGATTTCCCGTCTCCTTTGTCTCCGACAAATGTTAATATCTAACTGAAATTGAATTTAGTACACAAACTCTAAAGGATGAAAGTGACTTACTGTAAAGGCTAAAAAACATGGGAAACCATTTAAGTGACGTCAATGAAGCCCACGTTCGGCATGATACTCCGAAATCGAATATACGGGATGTATCGAAATTACAGCCCACCCCCCCCCCCCCCTCCAACCCTCTATTATCCACAGTATAAACTAAAATATATACTTACATAACATGTATTAATATTTTGTGTGGCCTCCATCTGTCTGTACCAGAGCCTACTTGCACGAGGTCGTGATCATATTTACCCACTAGTGGTTTAAGAAATATTTATTTTGAACGTTCATTTCAGAAATATTTCACCATATTCTTATTTTAGGATGTGGTTTTTATACGTTTCCTGATAATATCAAAGAAAAAGAGTGCGAAAGTGGTCTGAAGTTTTCCTGCGCTGATGGATACGAAATGGATATTGTAGCGACATGTGTAGGCGGCATATGGCACAATGAACCATCATGCGTTCATGTGAAGCCAGGTAAGTTTGTGCTTTCAGAGATCTTATCGAAGAAAATAATATAAGCTAGTATCAACGAGTATCAAACAAATATTACCTATAAAAATAGACCCAAACTTAAAGGAGAACAGTCGGCATTTTCGGGGACTGATTTGGGTCTTTATTGGGCTTTAATAGTCTTAAGAAGTACTAAAACGCACGAAAATCGCATAATCCCTTTAAAGATACCTCAAACTAGAACGTTCACTGTCTATATAATATGTGGTTCTATATAAGGCATAATCTCACTAAAATTCGAGTCGAATTTTTAACTTTCAAATGTGAATAATTAAGGATACACATGAATTTGAAGGCTCAAATTTCGACTATGAGCTGTGAACACTGAAACTGATTATGTAAGCTAAAAAAAATTCCTGTTTCTGAAACTAAGGTAAGATTGGTTGAATGGATAGTGAAGGTGCTTCTTTAATAATTATTCTTTACAAAACAAATGACATGGTACCATTAGTTATGGACTATCATAAATGGGCCAAAGCACAGTTTGCTCAAGGTCTTTCTTTACATTTGGTGCACACAAACCATACACCATATAGGTGTTAAATTTTAGTAATTCTCCTATAATGTCTTTACAGAACAATGCTTCAATATTCGTGTTATTTAATGATACGTGCCATTTCTTCCAGACGAACCTGAACCTGTGTGTGTTCCTAAAATGGATCTTGTATTCGTTATTGATGGATCTTCGTCTATAGGACAAAATAAGTTTTACAAGATAGTAGACGCCATCATGGCAGCATTTCCATCACTGAATATCGGACCAAGTTCGGTCCATGTTGGAGGTATAGTTTTCAGCTGGAAGATTTATGGTACTGTCGATCTGAATGGAGACTTAGTTCAGGTGGATTCCGATTTTTGGGCCCTGGACTATCCAGATCAAGGGGGGACTAGAACAGATAAAGGTATAAATGAAGCTAAGAAATGTTTCGAAAGGGATGGACGTTATGGAGTTCAACAAACAATGGTCGTTATAACGGATGGGGAATCTACAAATAGGCAAAAGACGATAAATGCTGCAATTAAAGCGCATAACTATGGCATCAATATGTATGCTGTTGGTATTGGTTATTATGTTGACTATGCCGAATTAAACGAGATTGCATCCAGTTCTGACAACGTCTTTCTCTTTGAAAGTGCTGCTGCATTCGAGGCCAATCTTAAAAAAGTTATTGATGCTGTATGTTCAAAATAAAATGAATTAATATGGACATATCTGCATTAGCAATACAATATATTAACACTGATGTCTTTTTCCTTTTAAAAACGTCTCCATTAGCCCAGTAAGGTAGATATAGATATGATACATGGGCGGCCGCTCTATTGGGTCATTTGAACCTCGTGGAAAATGAATCAACATGTATTACGTCAAAACATGCAAATCATTGCAGTTTTTGTTAAAAAGGTAAAAAGGGGGGGGGGGGGGGGGGG